GGGGCTCTGCAGCTTACCTGGCTGCTTCTTGCTCTGACTGAGGGCTGCTGGGAGCAGGGGGTGGGGCTTGTTGCATGTGCCCGCCCCCTGGGCTCTTTACTGCCGGAGCTCCGCTCCTGTGTGCTCCTGCAGGAAATAACCCCTGAGTCTCTCTAAATTCCTGGAGATTTTGGGAGAGGGAGGGTGGGGTTTGGGGATGGGAGGGGCTTCAGCAGGGTATGACGCCATAGAGACCAACTTCCAAAGCAGGCGTTTTCTCCAGGAAAACCGCTCCCTGTTGGTTGGAGACCAGTTGTAATTCTGGGAGATGTCCAACCACTGCCTGGAAGTTGGCGATCCTAGATTGGATGCAGAGTAATCCTGGGACGACGCTGAAGTTTTGGTTTTTGGGGTGGTCAGGGCCTGGGCAAAGCTTTCAGAAAGGTCCGTCGGTCTTCTGGGTTCACTTTAAGCGGTTGTGAGATGTTTGTGCCGTTTCCATGGCGACCTCACTCCCACCCCCATCCTCCACTGAAAGGCAAGAAAGCTGTTCCTGTGTGTTAAACAATTTTCATTGTGAATATTTTAGGCAAAAAATAGAGACTGTGCGGAAAGAGAAAGCGGCAGCGCAGAAAATGGCTGAAAATCTGAAGAAGCAGGTAAGTCCCCCCCCCCGCATAGACTTCTGACTAGAAGGAGAAGAAGAATTGGGTTTATACTCTGCCCTTCGCTACCCAAAGGAGTCTCGGAACAGCTTACAGTCACCTTTCCCTTCCCGTCCCCACAACAGACACCCTGTGAGGCAGGTGGGGCTGAGAGAGCGCTGAGAGAGCTGTGACTGACACAAGGTCACCCAGCTGGCTGCGTGTAGAGGAGTTGGATTCTCCAGAGAACCACTCTTAGCCACGACAAAATCGAGAGCGACAAGGACGATCAGGGGTCTGGAGACCGAGCCCTACGAGGAAAGGCTGAGGGCCCTGGGAATGTTTCGTTTGGAGAAGAGGAGATTGAGGGGGGACACGATTGCTCTCTTTAAATATTTGAAAGGCTGTCATTTGAAGGAGGGCAAGGAGCTGTTCCAGTTGGCAGCAGAGGATAGGACCCGAAGCAACGGGTTTAAATTACATGCAGGAAGGTATTGGCTGGATATTAGGAAAAACTTTTTCACAGTCAGAGTGGTTCAAAGGTGGAATCAGCTGCCGAGGGAGGTGGGTGAGCTCTCCTTTCCTGGCCGCTTTCGAGAAGAGGCTGGACAAATATTTGCCAGAGATGCTCTAGGCTGGTCCTGCATTGGGCAGGGGGTTGGACTACATGGTCTGTATGGCGCCTTCCAACTCTATGATTCTATGACACCAAACTGACTGTGACTAGAGAGATCTGCGTTTAAATCCTCACTGTCCTGTGAAGCTCACGGTGCTCTTGAGCCAATTGCACAGTCTCACCCTACCTCACAAGGTGGTTGTGAGGATAAAGGGACTGGAGAAGACAAGGTATGGCTCCCTTATAGGAGCCTTGTGAGCCAATTTGAATGTATGGATACCCTTGTGGTGATTTAAACTGTGTGAAGATCATTGAAAAGTGAAGTTTGATAAAGAATATATCTCGAAACGAACGCAGATACACTCGAGAAGTGTTCGTCCTGTTCCTGTGCTGTGCATCTTGTTGGCACCTGTTGGAAACAAGAATTAAATAACATCATGAAAAGTTGAATTTTCTACTGAACATCTTTTGTATATTTCAGTTCCCTTAGGGAAGGGGCCAGACGACACTGTAATAAATCGCATTTTTCGATAAGCCTGTCTCATGTAGCCTCTCTTTCGGTCGGGAGATTTTAGATCCCTCCCAGGAAGAGCCCTCCCAGAAAGAGCAACACTGGAAAGGGTTAATGTTCATATAACTATTGCATATAGCCCCGCCCCCTTCAGTTTCTGCTGCAGAAACTCTCTGGTTTGACATCAGTCCCTGCTTTTTTGCTGTTTTTCCCTCCATTGGAAATAATGGAGGATGGGGGCACTTTCTTTGGGGGCCCATAGAATTAGGCTCCCTGGTCCAATCTTTTTGGAATTTAGGAAGTCTTTTGAGTAGAGGCACCAGAACCTACACTGAAACTTCAGAGCCTCTATCTCAAAAAAATAGACACCCCCCCCATACCCCCGGATAGATTCCCCATTTGGTGTAGTTAAGTGTTCAGACTCTAATCTGGGAGAACCAGGTTTGATTCCCCACTCCTCCACTTGCAACTCCTGGATGACCTTGGGCAAACCATAGTTCTGTCAGAGCTGTTCTCTCAAGGACAGTTATGGAAAGAGCTCTCTCAGCCCCACCTACCTCCCAGGGTGTCTGTTGTGGGGAGGGGAAGGAAAAGGAGTTTGTAAGCTGCTCTGAGACTCCGATTGAAGGATGGGGTATAAATCTAATCTCTTCTTCTCTTCATTATAGCCTATGGGGATCATTGACTGTAATGGTCCACATAGGCTATAATGGAACCGAAGGCATTTAAAGGTGTTGCAGTCCCTTTAAATGTGTTTGTGACGCCTCAGCTTGACCCAGAATGGCATTTAAACAGAGTGCACTCTCTTTAAATGCCATTTAACTGCAGTTACCCTGTTTTCCTGAATAATCCTGAATTATTCAGGATTATCCGGGATTGGCTATGCTCGATAAAAAATTCACGCCCCTCTACATCCAGCTGAAAGAATAGCTGATAAATACCAACAAGGTATTTATCCTTTTGTGTATGCATCCTTCAACTTCTATATATGTCGTACCTCAGAGGGGGTCAGTTATGATTCTGTAGCATCAGAGCCTGCTGGTGGGAAGAGGAAGCTGATACAAGAGTAGGGAAGGGCAGTGACCATCTCCTTGAGTCTGCATCGTATCCCAAACCACTCCATGGGCTCCCCCTCCCCATGGAATAACTCCATCAGTAAAGCTTTACTCCACATCCCCAGTCCCGTGTACATCCTAGGAAAACATGAGTTCTTTGATTCTGCTGATTTCCCAACCAGCTCTTGTTCTCCAATCAGGTGTCGGAATTGAAAGCCAGGAATCAGCAGCTGGAAGCAGAAAATACAGGTCTGGGCCAGAATAATTCCCCCAACCAGGCGGACATGGAAGATCTTAACCAGCAGTTGCTGAGGGCACTCCGGCAGAGAGAGAGAGAGTCCGGGAAGTGTGTACCAGAAGAATGGGGGAGAGAGCGCTCTCGACTCAAGGAAGAACTGGACAACTTTAAAATTCAGGTAATGATAAGTGAATACAAGTGGAGCTGAGTACTGCCAGGTTCAAATCTCACTTTGGCCATGAACCTACCAGATGCCCTTGGGTAAGCCATGACTTCTTTCTGGGCTTGAACTTCTTCTCAAATCAGCAATATGGGGCCATAAAAGTTGCCATCCATAGAGGGTTTCACATTTCATCCCCTCCAGGTCTCTAGAAGCTGACCTTGAAGTAAAGGGCATGTGAGCATATGAAGCTCCTGGACCATCAGGCCATTGGCTCATCTGACTCCATATTGCCTGCTCTGATTGGCAGTCGCTATCCAGGATCTTGGTCAATGAAAACTCTTTTCCCATGGGAGAGGCCGTGGTTCAGTGGTGGAATAGAAAGACCATAGCTGAGCAGTACCGTATCTACTTCATATGCAGAAGGTCTCAGGTTCAATCCCTGGCCTCCCCAGTTAGAAGGACCTCTGCCTGAGACCTTGGAGAGCCACTGCCAGTCTGACTAGACAGCACCAACCTTGTTGGACCAAGGGCCTGATTCAGGATAAAGGCAGCTTCATGTGTTCATACCTGGTATCTGAGACCCTTGAGCTGGAGGTGCTAGGGATTGCTTCTGGGACCTTCTGCATATATAGCTGATTTAGTTCAAATCAAGATGAGAAAGTCCATCTTTCCTCTGTGCATGTCACACCCTACTCAACACATAGTCGCTCTCCTGCTCACCCACAATGCATTACAAAACCTGTTAGCAGGTTCCTCCCTGGGCCTTCACGCCCTATTTCACTTCTTGGGCCTTCCCTTCACTATTTGGGAGTAGAATTTCCTGGGGCATCTCTTTCTGCCTGACATGAGGCATGGGGTTCTGTTACTACTTATTATGCCATCCGTTGTCTTATGGCTTTATTGTTTTTAGTAGTAGCAAAGCCCGTTGTAAAATCAATACAACGAGCTCTAGAAAGATGTCGGCCTCGGCCTCCCCGCCAAATGGCAATGCTCCTCTGCCTGCCAGCAACTCACCAGGCTCGCAGGGCGGTGCAGTGACAGGTGAGGATGGGGCCGACTGAGGGAGTGCCTGCAGCAGCAGCGCATCTTTGCCGGGGGAAGGGGCGGCAGGCAGAGACAGGGGGTAGCGGCAAGGCATGGGCAGGCAGCGGCGGCACAGCAATTGGAGGCAAGGCAGAAGCTTTGGCTGCCAGCTGTGTAGCTGCTGGCCGCTTGGCCTGCAGGTGTCCAACAGGTCGAGCGGCGCCTCCCTGGCACTCTCCTCTGGCGGGGCGGGCCAGCGCTCAGCCTCATTTCCCCAGCTCGGAGCAGCAAGGAAGGGTCCCACTTTGGCCGGGGGCTCATCCATTGCAGCGGAGGTGAGACCTGAGGCACCAACAGCTGCTCCTCCAGGCCTTGCACATGGCCACTGACGCCCCGCTCCCCTGAATGGCTGCTCGTGGCAACCGCCACTGCCTGCACAGGAAGAGCCATTGCGACCAACAATGACACAAGCCTCAGCCTTCTCAGCCTCCGCTCGCCAGAGCATCCATCCTGCCCATCACCTCAGACAATACTGAGGCCAAGGTGCTGGCCGCCGCTTCTGTGGGTGGGACTCCAGCAACACAACCACTGGATTGGAACACCGTCGGAGTGACAGGTCAGGGAGCCAAATGCTGTGGGAGCATGTGGAACGTTCAGGAAAGAGTTACCCGAAAACTCAATTATATATAAGGAGAGATTGTTTATGGGTTTTATGTTGTATGCTGCCCTGAGCCCACTTGTGGGATAGGGCGGGGTACAAAGTAAATAAATAATAAATCAATTTTTGTGATTTGTTGATTCCAGTCGTCCGCGCTGGTCTCGTCCTTGGAGGCGGAGCTCTGTCAGCTCCGGGCTGAGGCCTGTGCCATGGAACAGGAGAACCTGTGCCTGAAGCAAGAACTGGAGAAGGTGCAACAGGTGAGGCTCAGTGCAGAGGTTCATTTGCAGAGGAGTAGATCTCCACTACTAGAGGATGGTTGGAAAGGGGGACCTACGTGAAGCTGAGAAGGCCTCTACCCGGAGATCAAACCACGCCGGTATACCATGCACACGCTGGCCTCCGTAGGGGTCCCCAACCTTTCTGAGCTTCTGGGCACCATTGGAATACTGACACAGAGTGGTGGGCACAACTGCAAAATGGCTGCCACAGGAGGCGGGGCCAACCACACAGAGGAAGTCCCCGTGCACGGGAGAAGAGGGATAATTTAAAAACTGCACTGGGAAAGAGGAGTGAGAGAGAATAAAATCAGCACTGTAATGGCAGCTGCAGCTGAATCGATGTTAGAGAGCCAGTTTGGTGTCGGGGTCAAGAGTGGCGGACTCTAATCTGGAAGAAGCGGGTTTGATTCCCCACTTCTCCACATGCAGCTGCTGGTGTGACCTTGGGTCAGTCTCAAGTTCTCTCGGAGCTGGTCTTGAAAGAGCGCTCTCAGCCCCACCTACCTCACAGGGTGTTTGTTGTGGGGATGGGAAGGGGAAGAGAAGGAGATTGTAAGCCACTCTGAGACTCCAAGTGAAGGGCGGGGGATAAATCCAATCTCTTCTTCAGCAACCCTGCTGGGCAAGAGTCCCCCCATGGGCCCCACCCCCTTTCTAAAAATCACTTGGTGGACACCATGAAAGATGTTGGTGAGCACCGGCGCCAGGTTGGGGACCCCTGCCATAGAGGAAGGGCACCCTGCTCACATGTATCAACTGCACTGAAAGGGTTAGAAGGCTACATGCTGGCTATTGGTGAATTTAGGATGCAAACGCGAATGTGGTTCTTGCCTGCTAGAGATGATAAGTTCATCCGCCTCTTCTTGTGAAAAGCATGCAAGGTGTTCGCGTACATGAAATGGATCTATGTCTCTTCCTTGGAGAAGTGGAAGCGGGTAGGAAAAGAGGAAGACCCAAGAAGAAGAAGAGGAAGAGGAAGAGGAAGAAGAGGAGATTGGATTTATATCCCGCCCTTCACTTGGAGTCTCAGAGCGGCTTACAATCTCCTTTCCCTTCCCCTCCCCACAACAGACACCCTGTGAGGTGGGTGGGGCTGAGAGAACTCTGACACAAACTGCTCTTTTTCAAGGACAGCTGTGCCAGAACTATGGCTTGCCCAAGGTCACATCAGCAGGTGCAAGTGGAGGAGTGGGGAAGACGAAGAAGAGAGAAGGGATTGGATTTATACCCCACCCTTCACTCGGAGTCTCAGACCCGTTTACAAACTCCTTTCCCTTCCCCATCCCCACAACAAACACCCTGTGAGGTAGGTGGGGCTGAGAGAGCTCTTTCGAGGACTGCCCTTGAGAGAACAGCCTTGAGGGAATTTGTGACTGACCCAAGGTCAAGCCAGCAGCTGCATGTGAAGGAGGAGTGGGGGAATCAAACCCGGTTCTCCCATATTAGTGTCCACGCTCCTAACCACTACACCGAGCCGGCTCTCAGGTGGATGGACTCCTCAAAGGGGCCACAGCCCTTAGTTCGCAAGACCTGAAAATGGCTGCTGAGGACGGTGCGTTTTCTAGGTTATTCATTCAAATGGGTCGCCATGAGTTGGAAATGCCTTGATGGCACTTACAGAAACACACACATTAAGGGATGATGACTTGCTCAGGTAAGTTAGCATCAGAGAGCCACCGCCCATAGAAGAAGAAGAGGAGGACGAGGAGGAGATTGGATTTATACCCCGCCCTTCACTACCCAAAGGAGTCTCAGAGTGGCTCACAAACTCCTTTCCCTTCGCCTCCCCACAACAGACACCCTGTGAGGCAGGTGGGCCTGAGAGAGCTCTGACAGAAACGGCTCTTTTTCAGGAACAGCTCTGACAGAGCTTGTGACTGACCCAAGGTCATCCAGCCAGGCGCAAGTGGAGGAGTGGGGAATCAAACCCGGTTCTCCCAGATTAGAGTCCGCACACTTAACCACGACACCAAACTGGCTCTCCAACCCTGAAAACCACTAATCTTTAATGTCCTGGTCAGTGTGTCTGTCTGCTATCTCCCCCAAGCCTTCAGAGTGTGGGCATTCTAAATAACCAAATACCTGGATCCATGAGTCAGAGCAACTGAAGCACATTAATTCCCCCCACACACACACACACACAAAGCAAGGACCGAGAGCTTTCTTTCTGGCCAGCCCAATAGCCCTAACACGTGCTACCTATTGGAGGAGAGACCCTAAAACGTCCGGGGCAGGCGTCGCCTGGATAAACTGTGAGCGTTGAAAAGCGTGTGCCTCCCACAGGTGCCCGGGTGCCCAGATCTCTCCGATCTGCAGAATGAGATTTCCAGCGTCATCGTGGAAAACGAGAAGCTCGTGAAAGAGAAGGAGGCCCTCAGTGAAGAGTTGAACAGAGCCGCGGAGAAGGTGAGGGATGCCAATCACGCTTCCCTATCTGCCTTCAGTTGCAGACGGTGCTCTTATTTACCTAATGCATAGGATCATACAATCGCGCGAAGTTGGAAGGGGCCATAGAGGACATCTAGTCCAACCCTCTGCTCAGTGCAGGATCAGCCGAGACTGAGCATCCCTGACAAGTCTTTGTCCGGACGCTGCTTAGAGACTGCCAGGGAGGGGGAGCTCACCACCACCAGCGCTCCCTCTCAGCTGAGTGGGTGTGAGCTACCCACAGTTTTTGAGCCTCCGGCTCACACGTTTTTGTCTTCGCTCAGGAAGGAGGGCTCCAGAGCAGACTGGAGCAGACTGATTGGTGCGGCAGCCAAATCGCCTGCTCACAACTTCAGTGCCAGGAGCTCACAAAGTTGAATCTTTGCCCACAGGACTCCACAGCTTAATGGGAGCCTTGACCGTCCGCCACCCTTCCTGCAACGGTCCTCTGAGGGAGGTTATGCAGAGAGGGAGTGACCGGCAGTGTCCCCTCTAAGCTGAGTTAGTGTGAGCTAGCTCACAATTTTTTAGCCTCCAGCTCACACACTTTTGCCTTGGCTCAGAAAGGAGGGCTCCAGAGCTAACTGATTTATGCAGGAGCCAAATCACTGGCTCACAACTTTAAAGCCAGTAACTCACAGAGCAGAATTTTTGCTCACAAGACTCCACAGCTTAGAGGGAACATTGGTGACCAGCCCAAGGTTACCTAATATGTTTTCAGGGCAGAGAGGGAATTAGAACCCAGGGTCGCCAGATCCTCATCCAACACTCTAAGTGCACTAGTTTTGAATCCAGTAGCACCTTAGAGACCTGAGGTGTAATCTTTTACCCTGCAAAATCTTGTTGGCCTCTAAGAGGTACCCTCAGGAGGTCCACCAGTAGGGCCAGAACTCCAGAAGCCCTCCCATTGTTGCCCCCCAAGCACCAAGAAGACAGAGCATTATTGCCCCAGACATAAGAACATCAGAGAAGTCATGTTGGATCAGGCCAGTGGCCCATCCGGTCCAACACTCTGTGTCACACAGTGGCCAAAACCCAGGCGCCATCAGGAGGTCCAGCAGTGGGCCCAGAAGCCCTCCCACTGTGGCCCACCAAGCACCAAGAAGACAGAGCATCCCCAGACATAAGGATGTAAGAGAAGCCGTGCTGGATTGAGCCAGCAGCCCATCCGGTCCAACACTCTGTGTCACACAGTGGCCAAAACCGAGGTGTCCTCAGGAGGTCCACCAGAAGGGCCAGAACTCCAGAAGCCCTCCCACTGTGGCCCCCCAAGCACCAAGAAGACACAGCATTATTGACCCAGATATAAGAACCTAAGGAAAGTCATGTTGGATCGGGCCAATGGCCCATCTGGTCCAACTCCCTGTGTCACACAGTGGCCAAAACCCAGGGGCCATCAGGAGGTCCACCAGTGGGGCCAGAACTCCAGAAGCCCTCCCACTGTGGCCCCCCAAGCACCAAGAAGACACAGCATTATTGACCCAGATATAAGAACCTAAGGGAAGTCATGTTGGATCGGGCCAATGGCCCCATCTGGTCCAACTCCCTGTGTCACACAGTGGCCAAAACCCAGGGGCCATCAGGAGGTCCACCAGTGGGGCCAGAACTCCAGAAGCCCTCCTGCTATTTCCCCCCATGCACCAAGAATACAAAGTCTCACTGTCCCAGAAAGAAGTGTGACCTTCCAAACACCATAAAACAAAACAAGCTTTTCATACCTCCCAGTAAGCCAAACGAGAACATCTTTTTTCCATTCTAGGCAGCAAAAGTGGCCTTCTTGGAGAACCTGGTTGCTTCCTTGAAGCAGGAAAAGGGCTCCTGGGAGCACCAGACGCAAGCACTGAAAACACAAATGGCGGCATCGCAAGACAAGGTGCGTCGTTTCATTTCCGTTCTCAGAATTGTCTGGCCTACCTCTCCACCTATTGATCCACCCGCCCGTTAGAAAGTTTCAAAGAGAGACACCGGTATAAAATTGCTGAGCTTGAATTTCATCACCAAATTGCATTTGCCAGAATGTGGCTCAGAGGTTAAGAAGGTCTGTAGTTCGGGGGTTCGAGACGGAGTGAGCTCCCGTCTCTGGCTCCAGCTCTTGCCAACCAAGCAGTTCAAAAGCAAGAAAACTGCAAGTAGATAAATAGGTACTGCTTTGGTGGGAAGGTCACAGCGTTCCGTGCGCCTCGGCGTCTAGTCATGCCGGCCACGTGACTTCGGAGACGTCTTCGGACAGCGCTGGCTCTTCGGCTTGGAAACGGAGATGAGCACACACACCCCTCAGAGTCGGACTCGACTGGCTTTCGAGCGAGGGAAACCTAACTTGTACTTGGCAAGCTGGACTTCTCTATCACTTCAGGGATCCAGTGAGCACCAGAAGGAGCCCAGACTTGGATAGCCCAGGCGAGTCTGATCTGGGAAGCTATGCGGGCTCAGCCTTAGTTATTACTTGGATGGGAGACCACCAAGGAAGCCCAGGGTCGCTACACAGAGGCAGGTGATGGCAAACCAACTCTGGACACCTCTCGCCTTGAAATCTCAGCTGCTGAGCAGGGCCGGCCCCGGTTAGTACTCGGATAGGAGGCCGCCAAGGAAGCCCAGGGTTGCTATGCAGAGGCAGGCGACGGCAGACCACCTCTGCTTGTCTGGCCTGACCTGGATGGCCCAGGCTAGCCCGATCTGGTCAGACCTCTGAAGCTAAGCAGGGTCGGCCCTGGGTAGTACTTAGAAGGGAGACTAACCAAGGCCGGGGGGTCACTATGCAGAGGCAGGCAATGGCACCGGACCTCTGAATGTCTGTTGCATGGTGCACGTCAGCAGGGCTATTTTTGGGCAGGAACGCACAGGAACGGAGTTCCGGCTGGCTCCCGAGTTGGCCACGCCCAGCAGGAACTCATTAGCATAATAGGCCACACCCAACAGCAGACACTCATTCGGATTGGCTACATTAGGGGTGTGTGGCCTAACATGCAAAGGAGTCCCTGCTACAAAAAAGCCCTGGGTTTTGACAACAAACAAGGTAAACAGAATAACAAGCAAAAGGTGGGTGTGGCTGGATGAGCACACTTCTGGTAACATGGGGGAGCGGCCTAATGTGCTAATGAGCGGTGCTGTCAGGGGTGTGGACTAATATGCTAATGAGTTCCTGCTGTTGGGTGTGGCCTATTATGCTAATGAGTTCCCGCTGGGCTTTTTCTACAAAAAGAGCCCTGCACATCAGCATGAACATAACAATAACCAGACCCTTCTCCATAACGGCATCCAGTGTTCCCTCTAAGCTGAGTTAGCGTGAGCTAGCTCACAGTTTTTTTAGCCTCCGGCTCACACGTTTTTGCCTTCGCTCAGGCAGGAGGGCTCCAGAGCAAACTGATTTACGCAGCAGCCCAATCGCTCGCTCACAACTTTAATGCCAGGAGCTCACCAAGTGGAATTTTTGCTCACAAGACTCCACAGCTTAGAGGGAGCATTGATGGCATCGTGTCCTTTTACCCATCTCAGGGTTACCGTGCGGGTCGAGAGACCTTAGATACAACAGGAGACATTCATGACCTTCATCTATAGATGTTGTGTCTTGGAGATGGTACGTTTTTGCTCAGGGAATGAAAACAGAGATCACCTCCCGGGCACTGCCTGTCTTTCAGGAGGCAGCATTAACCACACTGCAATGGGATAGAATCAAAGTTGATGTATTCTATTTGTTTTGTATGTTGTACTGAATGTTTTTAAATGTTTTATGTTTTGGGCATTGGCCCCATCTGTACGCCAGCCTGAGCCCATTCGCGGGGAGGGCGGGTTATAAATTTAAATAAATAAATAAAATGTACCTTATACATGGGAGCTGCGGTGGCTCAAGTGGTTAAGACGCTGAACTGCAGGCTGTGGAAGGTCAGTAGTTCAGCAGCTCGAGACCCGGGTGCCGCATGATGGAGTGAGCTCCCATCTCTAGTTCCAGCTCCTGCCAACCTAGCAGTTCAAAAGCAAGAAATTGCAAGTAGATAAATAGGTACCACTTCAGTGGGAAGGTAACAGCGTTCCATGCGCCTTGGTGTTTAGTCATGCCGGCCACATGACCACGGAAACGTCTTCGGACAGCGCTGGCTCTTCGGCTTTGAAACAGAATTGAGCACCGCAACCCTAGAGTCGGATTCGACTGGCTTTCGAGCAAGGAAACCTTTACCTTTACCTTTTACCTTATACATAAATGTCCAAGTCTCCCTAAGCACCCAAATCTGCCACACTGACATCTTGTCATTTCACAGGTTTTTGGCCCCACTGTTTGCAAAAAGCATAGCTGTCTTTCTTCTATCTCCCTACCCCCACACTTCTTCCAGTACATGGAGGTGTACCTTCAAGAGAATGATTTGAAATTGGTAAAGCTAGTAGTAATGTATCCAAAAGGACCATCCAGTGAGCTTGAACCCTGCCGCTCTCAGCTCTCTGCTGGGGTGGTGTTGTCTTTCACCTGCGTGTTAGTGTCACGGGCTGGGGTGCCAGTCAAAGGGAGTCCAGAACAAGCCAAGGTCAGGAACCAAGAAGACAGTGCAAAGTCCAAAAACCCAAGCTGAGGTCAGGAGCCAGAAACAAAGAACCAAGTCCAAATCACTAACCAGAAACATAGTCCAAAGCCAATTAGCCAGCTGCACGATCACCCAGGCTCCTGTTAGAACTCTGGGCTAGCCGAGCGTCTCCCCTGTAGCCTGGCCTCTCTTCACCTGCTTGCTAAGTTTTGCCACAGTCGCTCCCTTAAACGAGTCACATGTGGGGGAGAGTCAGGAGGGCTTTCAGCTTGCAGTTCTTCCTTCTTATCTGGGTCAGGTGTGAAGGCTGCTGTTGCAGGCACTGCCAGCTATCCTCCTCTGCTGCTTCAGAGGGGCCAGCTGTGGTTTCTGTAGGCTCTATCAGCTCATCATCATCCATGCCCATGACAGTTACATCCAGAATTTTGCTGACGCTGTACAGAATGAACTTTCAGCTACAACAGACTAACACGGCTACCTCTCTGGAACGTTTAGATGTCCAGACTCAAGTCAGACTTCAGGGTGGCTCAGCAGGAGAATGACGCTCTGAAGCAGGAAGTGATGTCACTACACAAGCAACTGCAGACTGCAAATGATAAGGTAGCTCCTTAATTGAAGGGGTGTGCACTTAAAAAAATTGTTATAATTTTGTTTCATTATTTCAGAAAAGGTATGATTATTGTTTTCTCAGAATTTCAGAAGCATTAGTATCGTTTCCAAAATCTGTCTCAAGTGCATTTTTTTCAGTCTCGGGAATAACAGTTAATTGTAGAACCTGGCCGTCTACTGCCCCACTGAAAACTAAGAATGGTAGACCTGGTTTTGGACTTCAAAGACCAGGCCTACTTCCACTGTTTTCAGCAGGTGATAGACCTGCCATTGTGGCTAGGCCTACCATTCATTGAATACAGCCGAAATAACTTGGGGGGGGATCAAAAATTTGGGGAATGCCTTGCTTTATTGTAGGTATTTCTGATCCAAAATTGAATAAGGAATGTCAGGCAGAGTTTCAGATAGGAAAGATCCAAATGCATATCCTTATTTCAGTTACTTTATTTTCCCCTTTCCACTTTTTCTACACCATGTATATGTTAAGGGAGTTTATGTTAGGGGAGTTTTCAAAACTCTAGTACTTACCCCCCCCTTCTCCGAGTTCAGTCTTGGAGAGAAACGATCCACTCAAGACCAGATCATGCTAGTGTCATGGACCAGCCAGGGCTCTGTGACAGTGAGGACTCCTCAGAGGAGGAGGAGCCCCAGAGTCGACAGAAGCCGACCAGCAGGGAAATGTGGTGTAGGCATGGCCAGACTTGCAGCCAATAGCTAGTTCAGAATCACCTCCACTCTCCAGCTCTGATTTAGCAGGCAAAAGTCAGTTGCCTGCCCCCAGCCCTCCAGAATCAGCTGCACCCTTGGAATGCTGCAGAAGAAGGCTGAGAATGGATTTACAGGCTAAGTGGCAAAGTGCATGCCTCCTGGCTCAACATCAGCTGCCTGCTTATAGTGGAGATGAATCTCCAGGATTGTTCCTAAGAAACTGGCTGTATGAATGATGTTTTGGCATGCGGCTATAAAGTCTCCTGAGAGACACTTTTGGGTGTTGACACTGCCTTGATTTATTCCTGGAAACCTGACCTCTGACTGCACAATACTGGGAAACCTCCTCTGGCCTGATTATTTTTTGGAAATTAGAGAGTACAGCTAGCGTACTGAACAAAATTTGAACTACACTTCAGGTAGTGAAGGGCGGGGTATAAATCCAATCTCCTCTTCTTCTTCTTCAGAATCGGGTTCTGGAACTGGCCACGCATTCCACAGGGCTGCAGAGCCAGCAGAAGAAGCTGTGCTGGGAGGAACTGGACCAGTTGGTCAAGCAAGAGCAGCAGCTCTTGAGGCAGGAGAACGAGAGGCTCCAGCGGGACGTCCAGAGCGCCAAGGCGGAGCTCGCTCATTCCAGGGAGAAGGTAAGCAATGCGCGTTCGGGACGGTAATCGTGCCCTTTCACATCAGGGGCGATCTCGCTCTGTCTCTATCACATGAAGAACGTAAGGCCTTATAGCTGAGTTTTCCATATGTACCTAGTTTCTTTAAAAAGCACTTTGCACATGCTCTGTCCTGAAGAAGAAGAGATTGGGTTTATACCCCGCCAGTGTTCCCTCTAAGCTGAGTTGGCGTGAGCTAGTTCGCTGTTTTTTAGCCTCCGGCTCACACCTTTTTGCCTTAGCTCAGGACGGATGTGCCTCCAGAGCAAACTAATTTATGCAGCAGCCAAATCGCTCACTCACAAATTTAATGCCAGCAGCTCACGAAGTAGAATTTTTGCCCACAGAATTCCACAGCTTCGAGGGAACACTGTACCCCACCCTTCACTACCTGAAGGAGTCTCAGAGCAACTTACCATCTCCTTTCCCTCCCCCTCCCCATAACAGACACCCTGTGATGTAAGCGGGGCTGAGAGAGATCTTTCGAGAACATCTCTGGGAGAACTTGTGACTGACCCAAGGTCACACCAGCAGCTGCATGTGGAGGAGGAGTGGGGAATCAAACCTGGTTCTCCCAGATTAGAGTCCGCGCTTTTTACCACTACACCAAAGTGGCTCTCTGGTTGCCAGCCTCCAGGTGGGGCCAGGAGATCTTTTGGAATTACACCTGATGTCCAGACTACGGAGATCAGTTCCCCTGGAGAAAATGGCAGCTTTGGAAGGCGGGTTCTAGGGCACTGTACCCCACTGAGGTCCCTCCGCTCTCCAAACCCCGCCTTCCCCAGGCTCCGCCCCCAAATCTCCATGGATTTTCCACTCAAGAGTGGCAACTCTGCCCTGTTTGCATATTAGCAGGGCCGCTGGGATGGGTCAGGCAAATGTCTTGAAACGAGGGAGTTAGAGAACTGCAGGGCTTGCTCACCTTGTGGTGAGATTTCTCTGCAGAAACCTGCTTTGGTCAACTTATTTCAAGTTCTTTGGCAACGGACCGTTTCTGTAAGATCAATCGAAGCGTGTAAATCTGCAGTTTTGTGAGCTGTCCGTTGCTCGGTGGCTACAGTTATCAAAGGCATGGCCAATAGATTTTAAAAAGCGGTTTATCACCTTCCCTGAACCTTAGCTGAGGCAAGACAGTCGAAGAAGTGGGAACCTGGGAGGGTGTTAAGCCTCCCACTCTTGCTGGAGTCAGTTGGTCCCTCGTGGGTTCCGGGGCCTAGGGGGTCGTTTTAGACCCAGCCCTTTTACTGGAGACACAAGCAAAAATTGTGGGGGGGGGGGGTGCATCAGTTACATCCAGGGGTCATTTCGTAGAAAAAGAGGTGCAGGAGCTCATTAGCATGACTTATTAGCATAACTTATTTGCATATGCCACGCCCCCTGACATCACCGGAAGTGTGTCAGAAGGCAACACCCACCGCTCAGGCTCCATTGGACTCTTTTGGATTGCTAGCTATTGGGGGGGGGGAACGTGCAGATCTGTCCTCGCAGCGGAGGGAGAGCTTGTACCTGAATAAACCTTGGTCTTAATCGTCCCACTGGACTGTTTTGGACCGGGGGGCTCTGCAACTTACCTGGCTGCTTCTTGCTCGGACTGAGGGCTGCTGGGAGCAGGGGGTGGGGCTTGTTGCATGTGCCCGCCTCCTGGGCTCTTTACTGCCGGAGCTCCGCTCCTGTGCACTCCTGCAGGAAATGACCCCTGGTTGCATCCAAGTTTGAAGCTGGTCCCCTTCTTGGCCTCAGTGAATCTGGCCATGCCGGCCCATGCCACGTTAACCTCAAGGCCTAGACTCCTGCAGCAAACTGTACCTGGGACTGCCCTGGAAGACAACTCGGGAACTTCAGCTTCAGCATCCACCCCTTATTGGCTGCCTGCTGATTAATATGCCTATTTGGTGAGAGAGAGCCAGTTTGGTGTCGTGGTTAGGAGCACGGACTCTAATCTGGGAGAACCAGGTTTGATTCCCCACTCTTCTACTGGCAACTGCTGGATGTCCTTGGGCAAGCCATAGTTCTGGCAGAGCTGTTCTCTCAAGGGCAGTCCTCGAAAGAGCTCTCTCAGCCCCACCTGCCTCACAGGGTGTCTGTTGTGGGGAGGGGAAGGGAAAGGAGTTTGTAAGCCACTCTGAGACTCCTTCGGGTAGTGAAGAGCGGGGTATAAATCCAATTTCTTCTTCTTCTTCTATTTTGAGAATTCTGTACTGGTTGCTGGCTTGTTTCTGACTTCAATTCGGGGTGCTGGTTTGTTACCGCTAAAGTCCTTTTCGGCTTGGGATGCACATACTTGCAGGGCTACATTGCCCAGTATCAACTGATGCAACAGCTCCGGACCTCTGACTGGCACCAGGTGCCATCAGGAGGTCCACCAGTGGGGCCAGAACTCCAGAAGCCCTCCCACTGTGGCTCCCCAAGCACCAAGAACACAGAGCATCACTGCCCCAGACATAAGAACATAAGAGAAGCCGTGTTGGATCAAGCTAGTGGCCCATCCAGTCCAACACTCTGAGTCACAAGGGGGGCCAAAACCCAGGGGCCATCAGGAGGTCCACCAGCAGGGCCAGAACTCCAGAAGCCCTCCCGCTGTTGCACCCCCAAGCACCAAGGAGACAGAGCATCCCTTGCCCCAGACATAAGAATATAAGAGAAGCCAATGTTGGATCAGGCCAATGGCCCATCCAGTCCAACACTCTGAGTCACAAGGGGGGCCAAAACCCAGGGGCCATCAGGAGGTCCACCAGCAGGGCCAGAACTCCAGAAGCCCTCCCGCTGTTGCACCCCCAGGCACCAAGGAGACAGAGCATCCCTTGCCCCAGACATAAGAATATAAGAGAAGCCATGTTGGATCAGGCCAATGGCCCATCCAGTCCAACACTCTGAGTCACAAGGGTGGCCAAAACCCAGGGGCCATCAGGAGGTCCACCAGTGGAGCCAGAACTCCAGAAGCCCTCCCACTGTTGCACCCCCAAGCACCAAGGAGACAGAGCATCCCTTGCCCCAGACATAAGAATATAAGAGAAGCCAATGTTGGATCAGGCCAATGGCCCATCCAGTCTAACACTCTGTCACACAGTGGCCAAAACCCAGGGGCCATCAGGAGGTCCACCAGCACGGCCAGAACTCCAGGAGCCCTCCCGCTGTTGCACCCCCAAGCACCAAAGAGACAGAGCATCCCTTGCCCCAGACATAAGAATATAAGAGAAGCCATGTTGGATCAGGCCAATGGCCCATCCAGTCCAACACTCTGAGTCACAAGGGTGGCCAAAACCCAGAGGCCATCAGGAGGTCCACCAGTGGAGCCAGAACTCCAGAAGCCCTCCCACTGTTGCCCACTCCCCAAGCACCAAGGAGACAGAGCATCCCTTTCCCAGACAGAGCGTTCCATCTATACATGTCCAGCAGCACCTTAGACACCGGCAAAATTTTGGAGGTATGAGCTTTCAAGAGTCAAAGCTTCCTTCAGCAAGTGCTACTGGACTTGAATCTTAATGAAGAGAGCAGCAGACAGTTGGTTTTTAAAAAAAAAATACTGAATTGCAGCCAAAAAGAATGCTTTGCTGGTTCTCCTTGGCGATTGCCTAACTGTTATGTACTGAGCCTGAACCGTGCCTGGAAAGTGACTAAGCTTGTACACCAGAACAATAGATAGCCGGGATTCTGGAATGGAGCTATAGAGCAGGAGTTGTAATGTAAACAGCTTATCACGGGGAGTGGGTGTGTGGGGTGTGTGGCCAGGGCCGGCCCCAGCTTATTTTGCACCTTAGGCGAGGATCCCCCTCCCCTGCCCCCCCCCCCCCCCGTGCGCCGGGTTCAGCAAAAGAGCTTCCCCGGCTGCAGAAATGCAGGGCTTTTGGTGGTTGGGGGGCTTTTGGCGGGGGGCGGCGGGTGCAGTTTGGCGCCCCTAAGGGCCGGCCCACTCTAGGCAAACGCCTAGTTCGCCTAGTGAGCGAGCCGGCCCTGGGTGTGGCGTTTTGCATGCATATAAGCGGGCCTCCAGCCCTGCTACAGTTGTCTTAAGAGTTAAGCTGGAATCATTACTAAACTATGAGCTGATCGCTATTCGCGTTTCGAACCCAGTACATTGCACTAACGTCTTTGGTTTCTGCTTGCTCGGGCGCCAGATGCGGCAGCTGGAAGCCTCCCTCCTCTCCCTGAAGCACCAGAAACACCAAAGCCCGTCGGGGATGGCGAAAGCCGTTGAGCAAGAGAAGCTGAAGAGGGAATGTGAGCACTTGCAGAAGGAGCTGATTTCCGCGACCAGGAAGGTTCGTCTGGGACAAAGGGTTGTGTTTTCTGGGGGGGGAGAATGAGCCCCAGCGCCCTACCCAGTTTGTCATGAAGCCAGAATCCAAATTTGTATCTCGGTTCAAGTCACCTTAAAAAACTAGGAGGAGGAGAGGAGGAGATTGGATTTGTACCCCGCCCTTCACTCGGAGTCTCGTGAGAGCGGCTTACAGACTCCTTCCCCTTCCCCTCCCCACAACAGACACCCTGTGAGGTCGGTGGGGCCGAGAGAGCTCTGATGTAAACTGCCCTTTCAAGGACAGCTCTTAGCAGAACTATGGCTTACCCAAGGTCATCCAGTAATGTATATAGCTGAAGATGAGGTGCAGATAAAATGTAGATTGGCTGGTGGGCGGGAAAGACAGAAGGAAGCAGGGAATGGAAGAAGAAGTAGAAGAAGAGGAGGAGGAGGAGATTGGATTTATACCCCGCCCTTCACTTGGAATCTCAGAGTGGCTTACAATCTCCTTCCCCTTCCCCTCCCCACAACAGACACCCTGTGAGGTCGGTGGGGCCGAGAGAGCTCTGATGTAAACTGCCCTTTCAAGGACAGCTCTTATCAGAACTATGGCTTGCCCAAGGTCATCCAGCAGCTGCAAGTGGAGGGGTGGGGAATCAAACCCGGTTCTCCCAGATTGAAGTCCGCACACTTAACCACTACACCAAACTGGCTCTCGCTGGAGTAAGTTGGTCCCAGTAGCACCTTTAAGACCAACAAACTTTATCGTCGCATAAGCCTTTGAGAAACACAGCTCTCTTCGTCTTTTTGTTCTTATATACCAGGCTAATGAGAGGTTCTTAAATTATTCATAGTTACTTACATCTTTATATTGAGAGGCTTTTGTTCCAGTGTTTGCCCAAACACTCTTAATTCATATTATTTGTATAATCGCTGACACTTTTGGTGCCCAGAAGGCTAATACTCTCTTCCCAGTACCCAAACCCCTTCTTGGAACACCAGTACACTTCTTGAATTATTAACAGACTTTTAGCAGTAAAAAGGAGCGAGGATCCAGTAGCACCTTAAAGACTATCAAAATATGTGGCAGGGGAGGAGCTTTCGTGAGTCACGGATCACTTCTTCAGTGAGCCGTGACTCACGAAATCTCATACCCTGCCACATATTTTGTTAATCTTTAAGGTGCTCCTGGACCCTCGCTCTTTTCTACTGCTACAGAGAGACTAAAACAGCTCCCCATCTTGAACAGACTTTTAAATCTCTAAAAGTAGTTTCTAATTACACCAGACCTCAGAGATAATTCTCCCTGATTGACTGGGTAGGGACTGTTCTCTCTCTAGAAGATCTGTCCCTTTTCCTTTGGTCTGAATGGGAGTCTTCTTCTACTACCCAAACCTGCTTGCCAGACTTTCCCCCAGTTCTCTGTCTGTGTTCAAACTGCTCTCAGCTAATGCTGAATTCAGACTGTATTCAGTCACTGCTGATATCTGACTTTGTCAGCACTAAACCCTTTCCTGTCAGGGCTGTTTCCAGACGGTCTTCTCAGTGAAGGCAGGAATCTGACTGACCCTCCTCAGCATACAGCTTTCACAGGACTTCTTTTTTTATGCTCAGCTGATGCTGAACAATCAGATTGCTCACTAAGCCTTCACAGTCCTGTAGTTGTATGTGCAGCGCTTTTAAGCGTCTTAAAAAGTGCAGTCCATCACAGTCTGTTTGGTGTCATGGTTAAGTGCACGGACTCTAATCTGGGAGAACCGGGTTTGATTCCCCACTCCTCCAGTTGCAGCTGCTGGATGACCTTGGGCAAGCCGTAGCTCTGATAAGAGCTGTCCTTGAAAAGGAGCCATTTCTGTCAGAGCTCTCTCAGCCCCGCCTCCCTCACAGGGTGTCTGTTGTGGGGAGGGGAAGGGAAAGGAGTTTGTAAGCCGCTCTGAGACTCCTTCGGGTAGTGAAGGGCCGGGTATAAATCCAATCTCTTCCTCCTCCTTGTGTCTCCATCTGCTCAGCCATGCTTTGAGCTGGAAGAACCACCACAGAGCCTAGAGCAGTTTGTTCTGATATAGCTGACCCACCAGAACACTCTGGCTGTGAGTGGGGAAAGCTGTCTCGCAGCAGACTAGAATTCACCAGCTGACGCTCTCGCTATCAGTCTGGCAAACGATCCCCTGAGCCCAGCTGTTTTTTCTAAAATTAGATTGGATTCCTTGGCAGGTCAGCCAGATGAATGACCTAGCACACGAACTGGAAACCGTCAAATTGGAAAACGAAGGCCTCAGGAAGAAACAAGTCAAGTTGGACGAACAGCTGATGGAGGTATGTTTGAGTAGCAGAGCCGTCTTTTTGCTCTTTCCTGGATTTTAAAAGGGGGGGGGGAGAGTTCTCTTTACAGACTGGGGCCTTTGGCCGGGAAATATTTCTGCTGCTTCCTCTACCTGCCGGTTTACCCTGTACAGACACAAGGTGAAATTGTCCCACAACAGAATATTCATAAACATTTATCGCCCACCCTCCGATGAGAGACAGTATCTGGGGAGACTTAACAGTAACAAAGACGCAACAAGAAAATAATGAGAATATTCATAGAGGAATCCAGAATATAAATTAGAAGAAAGCCACTGAGCAGCTGGACTATTAGAAATGCAAACGGTTGACAAGTTTCAAATAAGCAGGGACAGGTCAAGCAGTTCAGGCAGTCTTAATCGGCAGCTGAAATAAAGAAATAAAAATGCCACCTAAGAGCTAGGGAAATGAGTTGGTTTATTGCAAGGAAGTCAACAGATCTGGTGCTAGGTGAGCATCCGGGGAGACGCTGCTCCGAAGTTGCGGTGCCAACAACCGAGAAGGCCCTGCTTCTAGTCATTATCCACCTGACCTCTGAAAGGTAGGGGGGGAGCACAATGTCATGGGAGAATCTTTTAAAAAAGATAAAGCAGTCTTATGTACTTATTGGAAGTCCATACAGGAAGTGGCCAAGGGTAGCCGTATGGGTTGCCAGAAACTCTCTGATAAAACCATAGCGTTTCCAGCGATTCCTAGAGCTATCCTTTGTCACTTCCTGTATTTCTGATAAGTACACAAGGTTGCTCTTTTTCCCCTTGATTTTTCTCCTTGAAGTGGCAGTGGGAAATGGGAACGGGACGCTGGGGATCTCCACCCCATTCCTACTGAGGGCTAGGGTTCCCAAGTCCAAAATACTCACCGGCGGGGGAGCCTTGGCCGGCTCCGGGAGCCGTCCCCGGATGTGTGCGCCACCACCACATCACAGGAAGTTACGTCCAACGTCGACCATGTTGAGGGCGTGGCCACGATCGCCGGAGGGAAAACCATAGAGTTTTCCCTCCGATAATCCAGGCCACGCCCCCAACGTGGCCGACGTGCACGTCACTTCCTGTGACGCTGCACTTCGGGGGGCGGAGTTCCCCCGGGGCCCGATTCCGGCAGAAATCGGGCCTCCAAAGCGGGGGTTTACCCGCCCCCCACCCACTCCCACTTGGCAGCCCTACTGAGGGCTTAGCCAGCCCTCCTGGAAGGGGGATCAAGGGAAACAGGTAGACACAGCAGTGATGGCATCGCTTCCTGTGCGACACTGGCCACAAGGCCTAGGCCTTTCTCTTGGTAAGTCCCCCTCCACAGCCAGCCGATTGGCAGCTGGGGGCAGGGCCAGGCAGCAGGGGGGGGGACGACCCCCAGCTCCACCAGGAAGGTCCGGCAGCCGTAATTGGAGCTGAGGCTTGTAAAACGCCGAATTCTGTGGGATCTACCCAGCCTTGCATTCGGGAAATTCTGTTGTGGACAATGGAGTTGAAAAGAGGTCTTTTATTTTAAATATTTACACTCTGGTTTTCTCTTGCATGTGGGAGAGGATGTATTTGTGTCTCCCCTTCCCCTCCGTGCAGGACTTCTTATTCTGGATTTTCCTTTAGCCAACGGCCTTTTTCTCTGTGCAGACTAAATTTTTTGCCCCCTTCTGACTCCTATAACTTTCTCTCTCCCCCTGCTCGCTCTCTCCCCCCGCTGGCTAATCCTTGCCTAGACCTTGGTGGTTGGAGACGAAGGCAGGGCTCTGCCAGAAATGGCGCGTGAAGGTAGAACAAAACCCATTTTCCTGTCATTCCAACTGCATGGAGGACAAAACGAAACAAAACCCCCATTTCATCCTGTTTTGTCCCTTCCTTCCTCCCCCCCTTTCTCTGTTGTACGACGGAATTAATACCGAATAAGGTCACAGTAATCCATATCTTCTGAATGAGCCACTCTTCATTGTAATGAGACGATCATATTTTCCTGTTTATTTATTTAAAATATTTGTTAGCTGCCCTTTCTTCCTTACAGTTTGGTGTAGAGAGCCAGTTTGGTGTAGTGGTTAAGTACGCGGACTCTAATCTGGGAGAACCGGGTTTGATTCCCTACTCCTCCAGTTGCAGCTGCTGGATGACCTTGGGCAAGCCGTAGTTCTGTCAGAGCTGTTCTCTCAAGGAAAGTTCTGGAAAGAGCTCTCTCAGCCCCGCCTACCGCACAGGGTATCTGTTGTGGGGAGGGGAGGGGAAGGGAAAGGGGTTTGTAAGCCGCTCTGAGACTCCCGAGTGAAGGGCGGGGTATAAATCCAGTCTCCTCCTCCTCCTTCTCCTTCTTCTTCTTCTTCCAGAGCTTAGGCAGCTTAGAACATAGATAAAAGACGCATAAAATAAAATAAATTAGGAGTTTTGTAAGCCGCTCTGAGACTCCGAGTGAAGGCGGGGTATAAATCCAGTCTCCTCTTCCTCCCTCTTCTTCCAGAGCTTAGGCAGCTTAGAACATACCGGTAGATAAAAGACGCATAAAATAAAATAAATTAGGAGTTTTGTAAGCCGCTCTGAGACTCCGAGTGAAGGGCGGGGTATAAATCCAGTCCCAAATGAGCTTCTTTGATTGCTGGGACAGTCAGGCGGGTCTCCCTCTGTGATCTTAATCTCCAGGCTGGAAATATTCATGTGTTTTAACTGGCAACTGGCTAGCGCTGGGCATCGGTTAATTCCTTCGGCTGAGAACGCCGGTTAAGCTGCCCGGACTCCGAAGCCGTTTCCAGCAAGACCCTTGTTTGTTAGCCGCCCCGAGGCCATCCGTGGGGAGGGCGGGGTAGAAATTTAAATAAATAAATAAAAATAAACTAAATAAAATGAAAAGTGGCTCAGAGACTCCGTTTTCTGTTTGTTCCCCCCCCCTCCCCAAATCCATTTGTTCTTTTGTGAAGGTTAGAGTCTCTCCTTCCATAGTCTTTTTTCCCCCCTCTCTCTGTCTGCATGTCTTCCGTGGAATGATCAGGTTGAACGTCACGTGGCTGGGTTTGCTGATCTCTACAAGGCCTTTTCGGAGGGAATGCAGCCTCCCGGCGGCTCTTGGCTTCCTGCAGACTATTAGCAGCACCTCTGTGCACCAGGATACCAAATCCATATGAACACGTGAAGCTGCTTTACAGTGACTCAGACCGTTGGTCGGTCAGTCTTGTCTGCTCAGACCGGTCACTGATCTCCAGGGTCTCAGGCGGAGGTCTTTCCCATCACCCCCTGCCTGGTCCTTCCAGGGATTGAACCTGGGACCTTCTGCATGGCAAGCAGATGCTCTACCACTGAGCCACGGCCCCACTCTGTGGCTTTTCAGGGCCTCAGGCAGAGGTCTTCCACATCACCTGCTGCCTGGTCCTTTCAACCGGAGATGCCATGGATCGAACCTGGGACCGTCCATGCGCCAGGCAGATGATCTGCCACTGAGCCACAGTTCATGGCTCTCCAGGGTCTCAGGCTGAGGTCTTTCACATCACTTTGTACCTAATCCTTTTAACCAGGCAGGAGGTGATGAGAAAGACCTCCGCCTGAGACCCTGGAGAGCTGCTGCCAGTCTGAGTAGACAAGACTGACCTTGATGGATGGATAGTGTGACTCCTAATAAGGCAGCTTCATGTCTAGAGTTCCACAATGATGCTGGTTAGAGAGAGGTCCAGGACAGACCAAAGAAATTCCTTGTTTACACAGTGCTTAGTTAATATGCAGAATTTGCTTCTGCCGGATGTGCTTACATTTATTTTTATTTTTTTTTACTGGACGAATTCATGGAAGATGGTCGATTGGTGGGTGTTGGCCACATCCACATGTTCAAAAGCAGTGGGACACATCCTAGTCAGCAGAAGCCTCCCCCTCTTGGACACAAGGACCCCTTCTCTGACGCGAGAACCATTTGCATGAGAAGAAAGTTCCGCTGTTCGTTGAGAAGCCCGTTACAGCCCCATATACTTTTGTGGACACTGATCTGGGAGAACCGGGTGTCACGGTAGAGCCAGGGAGGCAGGCAGACAGGGGGAGTCACAATACAAGTCCAAAGGTCAGCCGAGAGAGCAGTCAGCAGAGCATTAAACAAGTCCCAAAACACCAGACAAAGCCGTAGTCAAACGTTACCAGAGGTCAGAGTACAGGGAGCAAAGCCGAGGGCGTAGTCAGGTTCAAAGCTGGAAGTCAGGAGCCAGAGCAGTCCAAACACAACCCACAGAGTCAAAAGCCACAGAGTCAAACAGGAATCAAGGTGCAGAGCTTCTGGTTCTACGAACGAGGTTGCCAACACAAATTGCTCATGGCCAGAGGCCCTACTAAATAGTGCTCTGGCCCATTAACTCTCATTAGCACCTTTGTGCGAGGCCCTGGCTGCTGTTAAAACTCAGGGCTCAAGGATCTCCGCCCTCTTGAACCTGCTTCTTTTCGTCTCTGATCCCTAAGCCGGCTTACAGGTGGGGGAGATGCAGGTGGTGAGCTGCTTATGGCCTGCTCAATCCCAGGTGCAAACTGTCCTGTAGTTGACTCAGATTGCTGTGTATCCTCCTCAGTACTTACAGTAGGTGCAGATCCTGATGCTTCTTCAGCTCTTAAAGGCACTGAATCCTCCCCTCTTAGGCTGTCAGAAGCTGGCTCTGGGGCTGAGTCAAGGGCAGGCATAACACCGGGGTTTGATTCCCCACTCCTCCACATGCAGCTGCTGGAGTGACCGTGGGCCAATCACAGCTTCTCTCAGAGCTGTTCTCTCAGGGGCAGTCCTCGAAAGAGCTCTCTCAGCCCCACCTACCTCCCAGGGTGTCTGTTGTGGGGAGGGGAAAGGGAAGGAGATTGTAAGCTGCTCTGAGACTCCTTCGGGTAGCGAAGGGGGTGGGGTATAAATCCAATCTCTTCTTCTTCTGCACATGTGGTGCTGGTAGAAACAAATGTGCAGCTGCTAAGAAGCTCAGGGCGGCATAGCTCCCACACAACAGCCCTGCAAGGCAGGTTAAGCTAAGAGAGGAGTTATTGCCCACAGTTCCCCAGTGGCCTTCATGCCTGAGCAGGGAATCGAACCTGGGTCTCTCCCGCTCTTGTCCGACAGTCTTAAGCACACTCTATAGCAGTGTTCCCTCTAAGCTGAGTGAGTGTGAGCCAGCTCGCAGTTTTTTAGCCTCCGGCTCACACGTTTTTGTCTCAGCTCAAGAAGGAGGGCTCCAGAGCAAACTAGTTTATGCAGCAGCCATATCACCCGCTCACAACTTCGATGCCAGTCGCTCACAAAGTAGGATTTTTGCTCACCGGACTCCACAGCTTAGAGGGAGCATTGCTCTATAGTAGCTCCCCTGTGAGATTCCCCCCCCCCATTATCTGGGGGACAGAACGATGGTCTGTTGCTTTCAGAGGGTGGCCATGTAGGTCTGTGGGTAGAACAACCACATCGGAGTCCAGTCGAATCTTCAAGACCCAGAAGATCTGACGAAGGGAGCGTTGACTCTCGAAAGCCCAGACCCCGAAAGCCTCTAAGGTGATAAAGAACTCCAATCCAGCTAGATCTCTTAACAGCCTTTCCAACTGGATTTTACGGTGAGAATTGGCAAAATCCAGTTGGAAAGTGGATTGAAAGTGTCAGGCAGGGCTCTTTTTGTAGAAAAAGCCCAGCAGGAACTCATTCGCATAATAGGCCACACCCAACAGCAGGAACTCATTGGCATATTGGGCCACACCCCTGACAGCACAGCTCATTAGCACATTAGGCCGCACCCCCATGTTACCAGAAGTGTGGTCATCCAGCCACACCCACTTTTTGCTTCTTATTCTGTTTACCTTGTTTGTTGTCAAAACCCAGGGCCCTTTTTTGTAGCAGGAACTCCTTTGCATGTTAGGCCACACACCCCTAACATAGCCAATCCTAATGAGTTCCAGCTGTTGGGTGTGGCCTGTTATGCTAATGAGTTCCTGCTGGGCGTGGCCACCTCGGGAGCCAGCCGGAACTCCGTTCCTGTGCGTTCCTGCCCAAAAATAGCCCTGTTTGTGTGTGTGTGTGACCGCAGCCTGAATGTGGAGGTTCCCCTCAGTCCCCCGGGCTAGTAGCCACCGGTAGTCTTCTCCTCCATGAATCTGTCCAATCCCCTTTTCAAGCTGTCTATTCCTGTGGCCACCACTACATCCTCTGGCAGCCAATTCCACATTTGAATCACTCTCTGTGTAAAGAAGTATTTCCTTCTGTCCACGTAACCTGAAGCCTGTGGCCGAAGGCGGGTCTGCCTGTCGCTTCCGAAGGTGGAGTGGATGAGCTTTTGCAGTGTGTGTGTGTGTGGGGGGGTCTCTCATCAAGCCGGGTCTCCCTTTGTGCCTCTGCGGGCCCAAAGGGGGCTTCCGGCCCAGAGGGGGTTCCCAGCGAGGCCGTTCTCACGCCCCGTGTCGCTTCTTCTCTCGGGCAGCGGCTCCACCCGAGCGCCAGCGTGAGGCTTAGCCAGGGCCTGCACCCGCGTGAGCTGCCGCCGCACCAGCCACAAGGCTGCGCCGTGGTCCCCTGGGAGCAGTACCAGCAGCTGCGGCACCAGCTCTTCCAGGCCGAGAGGAGGAGCCAGCACCTGCAGGAGGAGCTCGAGAACCGGCCCCTGGACACGAACATGCCGCAGGTACGCCCCTTCCGCTTTGCCCTCCGTCACTGGGGAGGGCGGATGGGTTACTTCCTGAAGGTGCCTCCTCCGGCCTCACATGAAGTTGTCCTTATACTGAACCAGACCCTGGGTCCATCCAGGTGAGTATTGCCTACTCAGACTGGCAGCAGCTCTCCAAGGTCTCAGGCAGAGAAAGGTCTTCCCCATCACCTCCTGGCTGGTCCTTTTAGCTGGAGGTGCCAGGGACTGAACCTGGGACCTTCTGAATGCCAAGCAGAGGCTCCGCCACTGAGCCATGGCCTTCCCCCAAAAGAAAGAACACATGAAGCTGCCTTATACTGAATTCAGTCAGCATTGTCTGCTCAGACTGGCAGCCGCTCTCCAGGGTCTCAGGCGGAGGTCTTTCCTGTCACCTGCTGCCTGGTCCTTTTAACTGGTGATGCCCGGGGATTGAACCTGGGACCTCCTGCATGCCGAGCAGAGGCTCTTCCACTGAGCCACAGACCCTCTTTACAGCTCTCCAGGGTCTCAGGCTGAGGTCTTTCCCGTCACCTACTGCCCTGTCCTTTTAACTGGAGATGCTGGGGATGGAACCTGGGACCTTCTGCATGCCAGGTAGAGGCTCTGCCCCTGAGCCACGGCCCTTCCCCAAAAGAAAGAATACATGAAGCTGCCTTATACCAAATCAGATCATTGGTCCATGAAGGCCAGTATTGTCTACTCAGACTGGCAGCAGCTCTCCAGGATGTCAGGCAGTGAAAGGTCTTTCCCATCACCTCCTGCCTGGTCCTTTTAGCTGGAGATGATGGGGATTAGAACATAAGAACATGAGAGAAACCAATGTTGGATCAGGCCAATGGCCCATCCAGTCCAACACTCTGTGTCACACAGTGGCCGGAAATACCAGGGGCCATCAGGAGGTCCACCGGTGGGGCCAGGGCCCTTCTGCATGCCAAGCAGGGGCTCCGCCACTGAGCCGTGGCCCTTCCCCAAAGGAAAGAACACATGAAGCTGCCTTCTACTGAATCAGTCTCTTGATCCATCACAGTCAGTCTGGTCTACTCAGACTGGGAACCTGGGACCTTCTGCATGCCAGGCAGAGGCTCTTCCACTGAGCCACAGCCCCTCTTTACAGCTCTCCAGGGTCTCAGGCGGAGGTCTTTCACATCACCTCCTGCCTGGTCCTTCTATAAACTGGAGATGATGGGGATTGAACCTGGGACCTTCTGCATGCCAAGCAGAGGCTCTTCCACTGAGCCACAGCCCCTCTTTACAGCTCTCCAGGGTCTCAGGCGGAGGTCTTTCACATCACCTCCTGCCTGGTCCTTCTATAAACTGGAGATGATGGGGATTGAACCTGGGACCTTCTGCATGCCAAGCAGAGGCTCTTCCACTGAGCCACAGCCCCTCTTTACAGCTCTCCAGGGTCTCAGGCGGAGGTCTTTCACATCACCTCCTGCCTGGTCCTTCTATAAACTGGAGATGATGGGGATTGAACCTGGGACCTTCTGCATGCCAAGCAGAGGCTCTTCCACTGAGCCACAGCCCCTCTTTACAGCTCTCCAGGGTCTCAGGCGGAGGTCTTTCACATCACCTCCTGCCTGGTCCTTCTATAAACTGGAGATGATGGGGATTGAACCTGGGACCTTCTGCATGCCAAGCAGAGGCTCTTCCACTGAGCCACAGCCCCTCTTTACAGCTCTCCAGGGTCTCAGGCGGAGGTCTTTCACATCACCTCCTGCCTGGTCCTTCTATAAACTGGAGATGATGGGGATTGAACCTGGGACCTTCTGCATGCCAAGCAGAGGCTCTGCCACTGAGCCACAGCCCCTCTTTACAGCTCTCCAGGGTCTCAGGCTGAGATCTTTCCCATCACCTCCTGCCTGGTCCTTTTAGCTGGAGATACCCGGGGATTGAACCAGGGACCTTCTGCATGCCAAGTAGGGGCTCCGCCACTGAGCCACGACCTTTCCCGAAAAGAAAGAACACATAAAGCTGCCTTATGCCGAACCAGACCCTGGTCCACCACAGTCAGTATTGTCCACTCAAACTGGCAGCTGCTCTCTAGGGTCTCAGGCTGAGGTCTTTCCCGTCATCTCCTGCCTGGTCCTTTTAACTGGTGATGCCGGGGATTGAACCTGGGACCTTCTGCATGCCAGGCAGAGGCTCTGCCACTGAGCCACAGCCCCTCTTTACAGCTCTCCAGGGTCTCAGGCGGAGGTCTTTCCCATCACCTACTGCATGATCCTTTTAACTGGAGATGGTGGGGATTGAACCTGGGACCTTCTGCGTACAAAGCAGAGGCTCTTCCACTGAGCCATGGTCCCTTCCCTAATCCCAGTTGATGCCAGTCGTCTCTTGTGTTAACTGATAGCTGGGAGGAAGCCACCTCCCTGTGTTGCACTGGGGGGGGGCCCTCATTGTGCTGCCGTTTATTTTGGGTATCCTGGCCGAAAAATCAGCACTGGGTGTTGCATGCGAGAGAGAGAGAGAGAGAGAGAGAGAGAGAGAGAGAGAGAGAGAGAGAGAGAGAGAGAGAGAGAGAGAAAGAGAGAGAGAGAGAGAGAGAGAGAGGGGCTGGTGTGCCGAACAAGAATCTGGGAGACACCCATTCAAGCCCCCACTCTGCCATGGAAGCTCACTGGGCGACCTTGGGCCAGTCAGACACTTGGCCTAGCCTGCAGGGTTGTTGTGAGGTCAAAAAGAGAGGAGAAGGGTGTGAGCAGCTTTGCGTCCCCACCGGGGTGAACGGCAGGGCATGCACGAAGGAGCAAACAAATAAAACCAAAAGCATTCCAGTGTTCATCTTTGAAATGCTGGAACGTACGAAGAGGAGCATTCAAGAGGACTGATTGCTGCTCGAATTTTGGCGTTTACAGCCGCAGGAGTCCCGCGGTGCGAACGAGACACCTCGCAAGCTGCCTGTTGACCCTACAGCGTATACTAATCTTTAATCTTTTCGCTGCATGTCGTCCCCTTGTTTTTCCGTTGCAGCGCTTGCTCTCTGTGGCCCGCTCGCTTCGATGGCTAGGCTAAACCGGCGCCAGTTGTGTGTCTTACTAAGTGAAATGTGCTGTTGTTAAGACCCAGGGGTGAAGTGTGTCCTCCTTGCCTTCTTTCCTTAGGCCTCGCTTCCGGAGCAGCGATCCCTGCATGCCGACACGTACAGGCGGATCGGGCACCTCTGATAACCCCTTTTGGCTGCTAACGCATCTCATTCCATACTCACAAAAAACTGGCGTCCGCTGAAAAAACTTGGGGAATCCAACTGCTTCTTTGGCTTTGTTTTGTTTTGTTTTGTTTTTAATTTAAAAACTTATTTTATTTGAAAACTCTCCAGTATTATGCTTTCTTTCCCCCCCCCACCCCTTATTTATTTGTGTCAAAATCTTAACCTTTTTTTGTGTGTCATGTGTATATGTGGGAGAAACGGAACTGCACATTTGCCGTCTTTATTTTTTTAATTTGTTTCGAGTCAAAGCTTCTTTTTTAATTTATGTTATTTAAGAATTGCTCATCCAGGGAAGTTTGGAAAGAGAAAAACGCTATTTTTCCCCCCTGCAGATTTTATGCTGTAACTATTTTTTAAAACAAAAAGGTATTGGGGTTTTTTTATATATTGGATCTGAAAGGAGAAAAATTTGAGTTATTTATACAAATTTTTGTATGAGATGTATAAATACTTTTTAAAACAGGGGAAAGAGCTGCACACTTTTTTAAAATTTGTAATTGGACAAATAAAATACAAATTTTAAATATGTGGGTGTCTTTGTCTTACTAACGAACAGACAGGGCTTTTCGTAGAGCCATCCAGAATTTTTATTATTTAGACCGACTCCACTGATGATGGAAAAGGCAGGGCATCCAAGGGGCCTGATCCTTGCGCCAGTTTCCAGATGAAATACACAAAAAGAACAGGCCTAAAAGTTTATCTTATAGATAAACACAAGTGGAGACCCGCAAGAAACTTGCGGGATGGTTATCCTATTCCTCACGCCTTTGCTTCCTCCTGTCTCCCACTCTCTCAC